TTCCCTCTCTCTTTCTCCCTTCCTTCTCTCTCCTTTCCTTCCTTCCTCTTTACTTTCTTTCCTTCCCTCCTTCCTTCCTTCCTTCCTTCTTTTTCTTCCTCCCCTTCCTTCCTTGATTTGTTCATTCATTCATTCATTCGTTCGTTCAGCCATTCGTTCATCCATTCAATATATAAAATACAAAGAAACATAGGAATAGGAAATTAGGGGAAGGAGAAAGAGGGAAGAAAGAAAATGGGAAGTACAAGGCAAGAAAGAAAAAAAAGGCATTGACTTCCAACTCTTTTTTGCCTGGTACAAAACTTTTTGCTTTTGCACATTATATACAACTTGCCATTTCTATAACGGTAAATCTATCTGATTGGCAAAACCAAAGTCAAAGTTTCATTTTTTTTTTCTTTTCATCCCAAGTGCAAAATTCAGAAATGGTATCCAAGTGAAAAACGTACTTAAATACATTCTCCTTTTTGGAAGAAAATGCTCCATTTTAATCATTCCTGCTTTATCTTCCTTGTAACAGAAATAGGATACGTTTCTGTTTGTACCTCATCATCTTGGTTGAACTTCCACCCTTTTTATTCGCAGAGTTCACTTTCTCTCTCTCTCTCTCTCTCTGTGCAGAATGGTGCCACTCCTTTGGCCATCGCCAAGCGGCTGGGCTACATTTCCGTCACCGATGTGCTGAAAGTTGTCACTGATGAAACCAACTTCCTGGTAAGGTCCATCTTCAAGCCTGGTGTGTGTGTGTATGTGTGTGTGTGTCTGTGTGTGTGACAGGATGTCAGCCTTGGGAGCCATTTTTTACTTGGAAGCTTCAAGGCTGCCACATTCAGTGCCTGGGAATTTGGGAGGGGGGATTTCATAGAGAGGTGGAAGATTAGACTCAACAACACTCTTTCTCAGAGAGTCAAGGACATGTTGCCCTGCACCTGGAGGGGAGTGACTGGGGTGGGAATGTCTCCAGTTGGGATGAAGATTTGATTGGGCCTTGTGATGGGCTAGTGGGTACAGGGGATGGATCTTGGATTTCTCTTTTGGGAAGGGAAAACCCGGAACTCTCAGATTCAGGTTTTCTCAGATGTGCCAATATGACAACTCTAACAAATAGGAACTTTGAGGAAATGTTTGTCTCAGAGTTTATTGGTTTGGCATCGGTTAGTTGGAATGCTGACACTGGGCTTAGAGCTTTGAGGCTCCCCTCCCATCTGACCTGTTCCTTCTTGCAGTCTTTAAGCGACAAGCACCGGATGAGCTTCCCAGAGACAGTGGATGAGATTCTGGATGTATCTGAGGATGAAGGTGAGGGGTGTGGGGCTTTGCATTGACATGCGTTCCAAGCACTGGGTTGGTAGGAGCATCCCTGAAAGTGCCCCCCCCACTTCTTTTTTGGGGGGGAGGGGATTCCTAAATGCGGTTGATGATGACATCCTATTTGCAAGTCGTTTCTACCCTTCTTCCTCGTTGGAGAGAAAGAGGATAACTATAACTCAGGGGTGTCAAACTCAAGGCCCGCGGGCCGGATCTGGCTCACAGGGCTGCCCTGGAAGCAGTGAAGGACCGGCCCTCGCTGCCTCTGCCAATGAAAATGGAGCTCGGGAGGGCCACGTGCCACCATCCCACTCTGTTTTCAGCCACAATAGCCTCCTGCAGCCCTCTTCCAGCTTGGGAGGGCCACGCACCACCGTCCCAGGCTCCGTTTTCAGCCACGACGTCCTCCTGCAGCCCTCTGCCAGTGAAAATGGAAATACATTCCACTCTTATCTTTAAAAGATTGTAGCTAGGCTACCAGATCTTCTGCCCATGAAAATTCTTCATTGGAGAACATGATTGATGACACCCGGCCCGTCAATGTGCTTCATTGGAGAATCTGATTTATGATAAACCCGGGGGGGGGGGGGAGGGGGAAACAGGGTCACAGGTGACTGTAAATTACGTATGCCAGAGTTGGCTTCATTTAGGTTAATGCTGGCATGTTGCTCCTAATAAATCTTTTGAACTCTTTTGAAGCTTGGCTCGAGGATCATGATTTAATTAGGGCAATCGCCAGAACCCTGATAGGAGGTTTATCTGTGTCCTCAGGGTCACCCGAGTGGTGCAAATTGTTCCCTGTAGTCTGCAATTTTTCTCCTCTGGAAATCCATTCCTTATTCCCAGACAATTCAAAGGGAGCCAACTAAATCTAGTCAACTAAATTTCAACACTAAACTGAGGCCAGATAAGGGTCAATGGAATTCAAGAGGAGTTGGACTTGAATTGTTTGTGACCATGTAATGATTCTAGGCAGATGACTCATTTAACCCCACCTCCCAGCTCTACCAGTTTTTTTCCTCCTACATGCAGCCACTAAGAAGGAAAAAGCTGGTTCCTGGTTCCTGTACTCTGCAATTCTTTTTCCTCTGGAAATCCATTCCTTATTCCCACACCATTCAATGGGTGTTCATCCCAAATTGTGCAGCTAAAAGTTTGTAGAGGTTCTCATTCATCCAGGTCATGGTTGCTCCAAAGGCGTCAAAGGTTCTCCAGAGCTGAAGAAGCTTCTGGGATGAGAAGCGAAACGTCTTCAAAGAAAAACCAGAAAGTCCAGTTGCCTCTTGGAAAAAGCCCCTTTGGGACAATTAACGCCAATCCCTTAATTAACCGTCTTGAAAGATGACAAGAAGAGGGTTACCTCCCCTTCTTGTCCATCCCAGTTTTGACCTCAGCAGAGCCTGGACCTAGACCAGGGCTCTCTCCAAACACGGCTACTTTAAGACTTGTGGACTTCAACTCCCAGAATTCCCCAGCCAGAATTCTGGAAGTTGAAGTCCACAAGTCGTAAAAGTGGCCGTCTTTGGAGACCCCTCCTAGACCAGCTTAACTAAAACTAGGGCAACGGAGTCCACGGCCTTCAACCAACTCTACAAACCTGCTCTGTTTTCTCTTGCTTTGCAGGCACGACTCACGTAACTCTCCTGGGTATGGATTGTGTGTATTGTTGTGGGTTTGGCTCACCCGCCCGCCCCATCGACCCCATTTCACCCCAACACGGGACACGTTCGGGCCTCTCCCATGCCTCCATTCCACGCCAGCTGTGGCTTCTGGGGTGGAGGGCAGCTCACTCACTGTCTCCTTATCTGTTGTATCTGTGACTGAAGGGGCGGTGGGGTGCAGGGTGACCCATGTGAGCAAACCACCATTTCATCGCTGCAGGTTCTTTGTTTACTGCTAGATTGCAAAAGGGGGACTGAAAGGAGTTGGAGGCCTTGCTAGCAGGTTTATTGCACCCTTCTAGGCAAGTGCAATTTGGAGATGCGTGGATTTCAACTCTCAGAATTTCCCAGCCGGCATGAGGTGAAGTCCACACATCTTAGAACAGGGGTCCCCAAACTTGGCCACTTTTAAGACTTGGGGACTTCAACTCCCAGAATTCTGGCTGGGGAATTCTGGGAGTTGAAGTCCCCAAGTCTTAAAGCGGCCAAGTTTGGAGACCTCTGTCCTAGAACATTGGCCGAAAATAACCCAACTTCTTTGACTACCTCACTTGGCTTTGCTTTACTTGAATCCTCTTTGCTTTCCACCAGCGCTGTGCAGAATTCTCTTCCATCTCTCTCCCCACACCGCAACACTTTTGATTCGCTTTTTGACCTAAGCTGAGCGTTTGACTTAATGTTGATGTTATACGGTGAAGAGAATTTGGGTGCCATTTTGAACCGGTTTGCTGTGGTGTTCTCCTTTGTATTTAGCGACAAGGCAGCCCAGGTGTGGGGGAAAAAGGCCTTTCGTTTTGCCATCTTTAGATTAATAGAGTTGGAAGAGAGCTTTCAGGTCATCTAGTCCAACCTCCTGCCCAAGGAAGAGACTCTTCGGCCATCTGCAACCTCCCTGGCCTCACCCTCTTCTTCTATTCCATTCTGGGACTAACTGATATGTGGGAATGCTTGCCAGGAGTGGCATTAGATTGGCCAATATGAGCATCCAGGGAGGCTTTCAAGAGATGGAACAGAATGTCCCCCCAAAAAATCACCCCCCAGCCCCATCCTTTTCAAGGATCTCAAAATACCACCAAGGGAAAAGCGAAAACAACCCAGCATTGATTTGACTTCTCCCTCATTCCTTAAATCAAGGGTCTTCAAACTTGGCAAACTTGTGGACTTCAACTCCCAGAGTTCCCGAGCTCACATGACTGGAGAAGGAATTCTGGGAGTTGAAGTCCACAAGCCTTAAAGCTGTCGAGTTTGAAGACCCCCCCTGCCTTAAACACAAGAGATGGGGAACAATGGCCCCTTTATGACTTGTGGACTTCAACTCCCAGAATTCCTGAACCAAAATGGCTGGCTCAGAAATCCTGGGAGTTGAAGTCCACAAGTCATAAAAGGGCCACCATTTTCCACCCCTGCCCTAACAGCTGTTGTTTCCTTCATGTGTCACCACCTTTTCCCCCCATTCATGTCTCCTCCTGGGACCTAAGCCAGCTTCTCCCTATCATTTTCCAAAGATTTGAGCCATTCCTTTCCTCGTGATTCTCCAAGAAATCCGACCTCTTTCTCCATCCCTTATTTTCATCTTCTAGCAGGGAGTAGTTTCTTCTAAAAATCCCGTCATCTGAAAAACAAAGAACACTATTCCACCAACTTAGCAACACTTTGTTTGCTGATGATCCTCAAACATAGGCCCAACTGTTGTTTTTCAGAGAATTCAAGATGGTGTGAACTAGGGAGTGCTGCGGTGGCCTAGAGGTGGAGCTCTTGCCTCACAATCAGGAGGCTGTGAGTTCAATCCTAGGTAGAGGCAGGTATTTCTCTCTCTGGGCACGTTGAGAATATATCTGCTGAGCAAACTCTGCATCGGCATCAAGAAAGGCAGTAGGCCACTAAACGCTCAGCTCCATTCAGTTGCCCTGACGCCACCCCTCAAGGGATTATGGGGTCATTAAAAGAAGAGGAAGGTGATGTGAAATAGGAATTGCTAACTCAGAAAGTTCAACTCCATCACTGAATCAAATTTTGCATATTGTAATCTAGTCGGCCTCCTGCACCATTGCCCTCCCCGGACTCCGGAGGCTCTCTGGAAGCCAGAAACAGGCCCATTTCCAGCCTTTACCGAACTTCTTGTTGGATTTCTTCCAACAACCAGTTCACCAAACTGCTCGGAAAGTTAACAACCGGTTCTCCTGAAGTGGTGCGAACCGGCTGAATCGCGCACCACTGATTTCAGGATGAAATCACACGAGACCTCAAGATTTGTACAGATACTATTCACGAAGACACATCTGGATTAAATATTAGTCACAGTAGGAAGACACCTTCATTACATTGGTGGGCTTCTATAGGAGATTCAGCCCACCAACAAACCTCCCCCAGCCTTTTTTTCCACCTGGGTTGGAAAGCCCCATGGAATTCTGGGAGTTGTGGTCCAATCGCGCCTGCAACATGTTTGGTTGAATGTGCTGGCAGATCAACGGGGCTCCGGATTAAGTATTAGCTGCAGGAATGGTCCGCGGAAATGGAGGCCCTTGTCCGCCTTCCTCGTGCAAATTCTAGGCCACAAAAGGGCTGAACTTTCCTCGGCTGATTTCGTTTTGTCTGAGCTCTGTTTTTGCACCATGTTCTTTGTCTCTCTAATTTTTAGGAGATGAACTGCCAGGTATCAAGACGCAGAAACGGGAACTTCAGTATCAGGAAGATGAGAGAGAAATTGTGGAATTTGTCCCCAAATTGGATCACACGTAAGATATGGGGAGGGGGGTTACATAGATAGTCCTCAACTTCTAAGAGTTCATTTAGTGAACGTTCAAAGTTACAACAGTGCCCCAAAAAGGTGACTTGTGACCATTTTTCACACTTTATGACCATTGCAGCATCCCCATAGTCACGTGATCAAAATTCATATGCTTGGGTCACTGATTCATACCATATTGGTTGGGCAATGCAAGATCACCCTGAGCCCTTATGGCAGGGATCCCCAAACTTGGCAACTTGAAGACTTGTGGACTTCAACTCCCAGAATTCCTCAGCCAGCATAGTCTTCAAGTTGCCAAATTTGGAGACCCCTGCCCTTATGGCCCACCTCAGCCGTGTTGGAGGTAAGGCTTCAAGGCAGGCCAGACGGCACCCTGTTTTCTCAACACTCTTCTTCCTGTTTTAAAACTTGTTTTGCAACACAGAAGGGAGGAATCACCAGCTATCCCTCGAATCCCTTGCGTTACACCTGAGACGGTCCTGATCCAGGCTGAGGAACCTGAGCAGGTGAGTGTTGGCCCAACAAGGCTACGTTGAGGGCAGGAGCTGAAGGAGCATTCCACAGAGGCCTTGTTGATCAATTACCTGTTAGTCCAGGGGTGTCCAACCTTGGCAAGTCTAAGAACTGGGAACTTCAAGTCCCAGAATTCCTCAACCAGCCAGGCTGGCTTGGGAGTTTAGGGAGTTGAAGTCCACATGTCTTCAGGTTGGACGCCTCTATATGGTCAACCCTGAAGCTGACCTGACCGAAGCCATTTTGAGGCTACAGTGTTGCCATACTGGAGCTGAGGGATAGGGAGGAGTCAGGGGAGGGCTTCAAATTTTTTTAGCAACAGGTTCTCGGCCCGGTTGCTGGGTGGGCATGGCCATGGTGGGCAAAGTGTGTGCATGAGCACAAAGCGCACCCACCAAACTATGCCCACCGAACTGGTGGTAAAACTTTTTGAATCCTGCCACTGAGATGCACCCATTTTTGGCAGAGGTGCCAGAACCTCTGGGTTCCAAGATGGCAATAGGAAGAGTTTGCATGAAATGGAGTTGGGATGAAGAGCGTTTGTAGTGGAAAATGGCACCAGGGGGAAGGAGGTGAAAGTGATGGAGACTCTGGCATGGATCGGCAAGGTCTAAACCTCTGTATAATAGGAGACCCATTTCTGTTCCATCTAGCCTTCCAAGGAGTTTGATGAAGAGTCCCTCATCCCAAGCAGTCCTGCCACAGAGACCTCGGACAACATCAGTCCAGTAGCCAGCCCTGTCCACACAGGGTGAGTCCTCTCTCTCCCACCTCAACCCCTTTATGAAGTTGTAGGAAGGATCTCATGCTATCATGTGACAAGATAGTTGCCTGTAGATGACTACTACTACTTCTTCTTCTTCTTCTTCTTCTTCTTCTTCTTCTTCTTCTTCTTCTTCTTCTTCTTCTTCTTCTTCTTCTTCTA